TCATAATGCCTGATGCAATCAAGAAACAATCAAAAGCAAGAAACTTCCTTGTGTTGATACAATGTGCTCCTTGGCCATCAATCAAACACTCGAGAACAGAGAAAAACATGTAAATTTATTCCTGACATAAAACTTTTCATATCCACGCGTTTGTATGGAGTTATGAACAAGTGTGAAAAAATTTACTGTAAATCTACAAATAGTAGTCGTTTGTAGGGACCAACCACTTCTTGCAGTGTTCTCCTTCACTACAAAAAATCCATTTGGTTTAAGGCCAACCTGCAAATTAGATGTTCATTAGTAACACAGAGGTGGCAGCATCATGACTAAAACATTAATAGCTCCAACAAGTACGAAATGCATCCCATAGTATACTGGACAAGTTTTTTGTTTGCAAAATAATTATAAAGCTAATAATTAAGGAAGAAACACTTTTCCTCTTGTTTAATTTGTGGTTGAGGGTTTATTGGTATGAAATTACCTGTTACCGGTGATATAGGTTAATTTCAGCTTTGTTACTCATAGTTGACTATATTACACCAAAGGACCATGGGGTTTCTTCCCCAACAGCCCTCATTCATAATCATTTTCACTATAGCACCAGTTGCTCTTACTACCAGAGTTCAAGTCAGAAAGCAACCTCTCTATATCAGAGGTAAGATTGTATATGTTTACTCTATCCAAATCACACATGGGATATGTACAAAGTTTGCCCTTTTGATATAGTATGCTCCAGTAGTTTTTAATGAGCCCAAAACAAACCCAACCAATCCTGACTGACTTGCGTGGACTGCAAGCTCTAACCATAGAAAGGCAACATATTGTTCTTTACTAAAAAATGTGTAGATGTGCCATGTAAGGAATTTGAAAGGCAACGTATTGCTCCTCACTAAAAAGACTGACATAATGAACAGAAAGGAGATTATAGATTTATCTCCAATACACACAAGGAGAAAAACTCAAAGAAATAATACAAATAACATAGATGGAACATGGCACACAAGATAGGATAAGGATGAGAAATTATTTAATAAGAACTTTACAAACATAATGAATTTCTGTGAACTGGCTACAATCCAGACTACATTAACTTATAAACTCAAGAAGTATATGCAGAAGCAAGAGCAACTTCAGAATTCAAAATATCAATGGAGATATATTTATTGAAGAACAAGAAATTTAAGTTCTTAAGGAAAAATATTAGCATCTGGAGAATTAATTAATCTTAAATCATGGGTTTAAAAGCTTTCAGCTCAGCCATCACTAGTTACCATGTCCTAAAGAAGAACAGTTAATATCAATACTAGTGAGACCAACTCAAGGAAGTTGGCTGATGCCACACAAAATCCCTTTGCAGCAAGGTACATAAGTGTTGGCACACACAAGACTGCATGTCATCTAGCAGAAGATTCGGTTGTGTGTTTCAATGTCATGTATCGAAATCTTGAGATGAAGCCAAAATCTTGAGTTATCTATGCTGCAGTAAGGTATAAAAGTGTTTGCACACACAAGCCTGCACGTCATCTAGCTAAAGATTTGGTTAACTGGTTCATGTTTTTTGCTATTTTTCAAGTTACGCAGCTAGGTTAAAAAAAACAAGGCCTAAAGCATAAAAGCTGTAAAGCCATTTAAGACAATTGATTACCTTTGCTCTCTTGAAAAACAAGAGAAAGTCATCATCTGTGAGTTGTCCTATACACCATTGGATCCATATAACATCATATCTTCCAACTTCTGGAGTGAATTCCTGCATGATTTAAAAAAATTAATTTAACAGACAATAACATCAATTAAACAACAATTTAATACCATCATAGAGGTTAACCAATAAAATATCAATGGGCAACAAAGAAAACAAAACCTGTAGAGGGACACAATAAAAATTGATAGCTTTGTGATCAGAATTATCTTTATCAGTAGCTAACTTCTCACGAGCAGCTTCAAGAAAATGTGATACTGGCTCAACAAGGTCAACCTGGATTAAGAAACATGGCCATCTCACACTTTTTGAATAAAATGGCAAGCCAAATCCAAAATAAGGTAGGATGCATGTCTAAGATAAACTATTAACTAACAAACTAGAAATTTACTGCTATGCCCTTCAACAAAGTTGCACAAAGCTATCAAACTAGTCATGGTAAAATGGCATAAGTTCAGGCTAGGAAATAACTGTTAAACCAGAAAACCATGATAAAAAAGTTCTATACTGTGAAAGCATTGTCTTAGGAATCTGCTAAACAAACTGCAACTGAATGATACGGAGCTCAGTAATATAAGGAATGACAATGCGCAGATACTAGTATCAAAACTGGAGTTGTTATCATATGCCAAGAATAGGATTCAGATAAATCCATCCACATTTGACATCTCTAAGATATATACACCATAAATTTATATATTTGTTCTTTGTCTATCTGCTGCAAAGAATGACTGCAAGTGCATTTTCACTTGCTTATTGTACCTCAATGTTTACATTTTACATACTTAAAATCCCATCAGACCAACTGTTGGTACTTAACTAAGTCGAGTTCAAAAAATTCAGAATTTAACTTCTCCATCATCTCGTAGTCCTTTAGTTTGTATACCCATTATTGAGACAAGAAGCCTATATCGTGATTCATTATATGTATCTGCCTTGTCTTGGGATCCCTTGGGTGCTAATCCTCATATATCTCAAATCTCATTCCAATAGTTACTCAAAATAGAACACTGTCAAACATCCATACTAGTCCTTCACACATGAAAGCAAACCTGTGTCAAAACCAATTGAACCTTTTACTGACATCAAACATTCTAACAAACATCCAAAATGAGCAGTAGAACTGAAACTAAAATGGTGGGAGATTTGAAGTGGCTGAAAACAGCTTGAAAAAGAGTGGTTGACAATTCATAAAACTGCACCATCTCCTTTAAACAAAGCACTCTCTGGAAGCATTAATGTAGGCCTTCAAGAAAGCACTTACCTTGAACAGAAAATCATCAACAAATACACAAAGTTAAAAATCCATTCTCACTGTTCCACTTCCATTTAACTTATGGCTTCCCTAAATATGTAAGAGATATCTGTTCCTTTTTACATGGACCAAATCAAATATTCCATTACCATTCCAAGATGTCTACTATTAGGACACAACCAAATACAATGTAAAACATTCTTCTCATGCCTAGCACTTGTACTATCTATGTTGATAACTCAGGTGACAAATTGCTTCATGGAAAACGAGATTCTTTCAGAGACAAAATGGTAAAGAAAAAGTGCATGAACAAAATCTCAGGTTGAACATTCACAGAAAGGTGAAAAAGTGCTTGAAAACATTTGCAGCTATAAAGTGTTTGGCAGTAAAAAAATTAAGTTGTGGAGTCAAAGCAGACCGAAAAAGTAAAGACCTCTAATGGTGTTCGAATAAATAGGAAAGCTTTGCCTTTGTCCCAAGGGGTGGAGTGGTTTATCGATCATTGCAAAGGCAAACAATTGGAAAATGCATGTCTGTATCTGTGATTTACTATGAAAGGAACATAACCATCATAGTTTGTATAAACAATGTACAAAGAGGATTTAGAGGAATCTGTGAGGCTGTAGAATTTCAATTTTTTGTGTCTTTATTGAGTGCTTTTGTTCTATTTACTTACAGGAGCAGCAGCAGCAGCATGTGGCATATTATGTTAGTTGGGCAGTGAGTGTAAGTTCTTATGGCTTCTCGACAGCTTAGCACTACAATTTGATATGGAATAGAAAGCTTTTCACCTTTAAGGCTGGATGGTCATTATTGAATACGTGAGGCCATATGAACTCTACTATGCCATTGAACGAGCAAAACAATAGTGCTGATTAAGACGAAGCAGAGTTACTTGCCTCATTAAAATATCTCAAAAGAAGATTCTTGGTGACCCTTCCGATGCCAGAACCACAATCTGCAAGACTTACATACATCACGTAAAGCACACATACATGTTCGTTGATTTGTTCATATCCAACGCGCACACACCCAATCCAAACAAAAGAAAACAACAGAAGGAAAAAGCAACATTAGAAGTTATTAAGGCCATCATTATTCCGAGCAAGGTCAAAATTTTCCCTCACGGGCATTTTCCAAGACATGTTCACTGCAAAAGAGCGGCATGAAAGAGGTTTACCAAGAGCCACAGGATGGCGTGCGCCGCTTCCAAAGCGGTCGAGCAAGAGGGGTTTAAGAAAGGCCTCGCTTCCCTTGACGTCGGCGTCGTCGACGTGCCCGTACCCTCCCAAGACACCATCCACAGAGGCCTCCACTCCCTTGTACGAGCGGAAGAGAAGCCCTCCATTAGGTCATCGGAACAAGAAAGCGGAAACGTCGGGGAACCGGTGTCTAATTGGGTGCGAATTCGATTACCTCCCAGTAGGCGATGCCTTTCTGATACCAGTCACGGCGTTTGCAGGGGGCGCCGTTCTCCGCTTCCTCCCCTTCCTCTCCGATGCCGATCTCTTCTCTCCACATCTCCCTCGCGCTCGCGAACCCTCGCCCTTCCGAGTCCAACCCTGCGGCGTCCATGTCTTCCAAGCAGGGGATTCGTCGACGACGTCTGGCGGCGGTAGGAGGAGCTGTTCTTTTGATTTGTATTCCAACTACATCAAAGGAGACAGCTTTCGGGTTACCCAACGCATGCTATCGAGTTAACACTGTCGAACAAATACACCGAAAAGAAAAAGAAAACAAAACCAGATAAATAAGGAAAAAATTAGAAATTAATGTCTTTATATCGAATTTTCTCACAGATTTTTTCGAAAAAAAAAATATATTTTATAAAATAATTTATATCAATTTATTGATTTACTAAATAATATATTTCTTTTTTTCACAAATAAAAATAAAAATCAGAGAAATAAATAAATCAAGAAAATTCTCATGTCTATTTCCAAACATATTTATTTGAACTATTTGGGATAGTCCATATGAAATCAAATAGCCCTAATTGGAATCAAAAAGACAACAATGTCATCAAGGCAACACATGAACTGGAAGCATTACGAACTTTATTATACTGCAAGCAACACATGAACAAAACAGATGCGGATAGGCTTGTTTTTGCAGCTCTATCAAACCTCTTTGATCACAAGTTAATTAGGACCGAATTGAATTCAAACAATATTATATCTGTATATATAGTTTTATATCTCATAATAATTCATCCAAAACGCCTCAGCATGCATAGAGCTCGGCCAATTCCTCCAGCGTCGCGGCGTCGTCGGCCGCGTCGAGCTCCGCGTTCTCCAGCATCCACAGCAGGTGATCGAACAGCACAACCTCGCACTTGATGCGTATCTCACCGAGCTTAGATCGATCGATGAGCGCACTCAGCAGTGGGTGATTCAGGTGCTTCGAGTTCACCAAGTACCGCCGCCTCGATCTCCCCACGAACACCGCCACCTCGTCGGCGCCGTTGTCTGCACTGATTGCAGCGCCGTCTTCCGGCCACAACTCATCTTCTCTCGTGGATTTCGACCTCAAACTACTGTAAGACGAACTCCTCCCTAGCTTTGACAAGCTCTTGCACTTCCTCAGTATAGTGTTCATCTTCCTCTTCTTACACTCAATAGCAAGAGAGAGAGAGAGAGAGAGAGAGAGAGGAGGAGGAGGAGGAGAAGGGAGGGAGAGATATCCTTGTAGCTTAGAGTGGAAACAATCATGACTTTATATATACACTCATCTGGCCATAGCTGTTGTGCATAGTTAGGTGCTGCATCAATGTTGTATAAACCCAATCCAACATAGCATGGGCCAAACATATCAACCTAACCTAACATGTCTCCTAACTATCATTAAGCTCAGACACAGATAAATTGGGTGATTTTGATCCCTGATCAGAAATTTTAGTTTAGCTTTGATGTGATGGCATGAGAGCTTAAATCAGAATAATACAATGAGTTTGTTGGTGGAAATACTAAATTAATGGTGCTATTATGGGGTTAAACAATGCAAGGTTGGTGATTTCAGCATTCCATTGCTTGGTTTGTAGAATGTATAATCATGAATAGGCTTCTTCTTACTTTGCTTAGCTTTCAAGTTAATGGTTGTGTTAGCTAATTATTTCTAATAGCAGTCGGAAAAAAAAAGGTGCAGAAAATGAATAGAGTAATGCAACAATTTAGATGCCTAAATAGACTTAAAGTAGTGCTGAAAACTTGATTCAGCTGTTCATGTGCAAGCAATGCAGTGGAATGGAATTCACAAGACATCAAAATTATAAGCAAATACTGCAACAATGCTCTCCTTCCTCCCAGGAATTATGCTGAAGAAAGAGTTGAGAGAACATGAATCAAAGAAAAAAAGGAATGATGATTAGAAGAGAAGTGAAGCTATTGGCTTTTGTTCAATCAGTGTTAATTTTTTTTTGGAAATGATTCTGATGCTGATATGTATTGAACATAATTAAAGATATGCAGAGATATAGCAAATGTGCTTAGGAAATGAAACCAATTCAGTAATTGACTCAGAAACATTGCTAGAACCAAACAAAATTAGCCTACTGGTCTCTCTCTCTCTCTCTCTCTCTCTCTCTCTCTCTCTCTTCTATAAGCTCTGATGAACATGATGCATTTTATAATCATGTTGTGAAATAAATAATAATTTATGTTTTCATTAAAATAATAATAATAATAATTTCTGATTAGAAAAATGGGAGGGGGTCCAATTGCCAGGCTCTTTCCCCACATTGTTTGAAGTCTGAGAATTCTGGAGACAAGAGGACTCTGCTGCAGTCAGTGTGAGACCTGTTTTTGGTGTTAACAGCATGCATCAGCTTTTTGCCCATGCTAAATATATTTTTGTTTTTTATAAGCAGCTACAACTCCTACATATTTATCCCATAATTTTTTAATCTCTTTGCCAAGTTCATTATTATTTATTTTGTGATTATGAACTTCTAATCCTAACCAATCTATTTCCCATGTTTGCTAAAACATTGATTAGACATAACCAATGCCTCCACCCAAAAGAATAATATTCCAGCCCTCATAATTCTACTTCACCTAATTCAATTCTACCCCCCAAAAAAATATACTATTGATACCATTACCCACTTACCTAATTTTTAAAATATATAAAAATAAAAATAAAAATAATAAATAAATAATATACTCAAGACTCTCATGATCTAATTTAGAATCTAATTGAGTCACAAGTATGTCAATAAAGGTTCAACAAGTAAACAACACAACTACACTGCACAATTTAATTGCAATAGACACTACTATAATACTTATATTAGCATGGTTTGATGTATCATTAATTATCAATTAAAAATAAAAGAATAAATGAGAATGATTGGGAACAGCACACGCTACTATTCTATCCCACTATTTATTATGCTAATAGTGTGGGAGATCGAAGAGGATCACAAAAGAGAGAGAATATATAAAGAAGCCAACCCACTTCAGCACTAATAGTCTCTCCGTGTACACTTTGATACTTCGGTTCTTTTAGATCGCTTATTTCTCCCCTCTTTTTTCTATTTATTTATTTATTTATGAGGAGGTTAAATGCCAGTCCTCTCTTGACCGACCAAGGTTTGCTCCCTCCCAGATCTCACCTCGCCGGGAACCCTAACCCTAGACTCGGATCCGAGGGAGGTAATCCTTGCTCCATCTTTATGGTCCTGTTGATCGGTTCCGTCGTCCGTCGGTGTTGGTCTTTCGGGTGTTAGCGGCTCGCGGCCGGGCGCCATGAGGGGACTCGATGCCGAGGGAAGCCCTAAACCTAACGACGGGGCCAGAGAATCGGGCGATGGCGCCGCCGGTGAGCTTTTGTTTCTTCTTGTTTTCGTCTGTGGTTGTGGTGATACTTGATCCGTTTGGGGTGCTTTAATTCCGTGAATTTTGGCTGTTCGGTTTTTGGGTTTGGGGGAGAGATTTGTTGTTGCGGCTGTAAATTGAAGGTTTGGGAACGATTTTACGTGCAAGCTGAAATTTTGTCGTCTCTTGGTTGAGAATAGTTTTATGTTATGGATATGCTCATTCGATGTGACCAGAGAGCGTTTAAGTGGTGCAGATCTGTAAGTCCATGCTCTCTTCTTGAGTTTCTTTGCTGCTGATGTGCATGACAATAAATGCTTGAATTTTTCTGATGTAGTTTCAGCGGATCAATCTGAATGTTTCTCCATTAAAACATGAAGCTTTTGTTGTGCTTGAGTTCCTGCATGAATTTGTGTCTGCATGTATGTTCCTCGATACCGCATTATAGTAAATTTTTAATGCGTTTTATTATCTGTAGCTTTTATCAGAGATTTGACTAAAAGCTGACATGAGTATCATTATGTACCGTACCCTTCACTAAATCCAGTTTATATGCTTTTTCGCCCGTTTCTTGCTACCAAATATTGATGCCACTATAATATATATATTTTTCTGGAATATGTATTCTTGTTGTTATTTCATTTTTATCTGATTCATTATCTAATACAACTGTTCTCTTCTAGCCTCTTGCAATTGTTTATCATGACTAACGCAGTTTTTGGACTTTTAACTTGGCCTTCTGATCTCTTCAGGTAATTCTCTTTTTGATGCCTCACGATACGCATTCTTTGGTAAGGATGTCATGGAGGAAGTCGAGTTAGGGGGTCTGGAGGATGATGATAATGATGGTAATGGGGGTTTTGTTGGCCTTGATGATGAGGAATACAAGTTTCCTTCTGTTAGTGATAGAGAGGTCAGTTCCTTTTGTTTGCAAAGATTTGTTTTACATGCCTTTATCTACAGAAGTTCAGTAAATTCTTTTCCTTTCTGGTTGCAAGCATGGATAAAGGAGGGCTTGTGTTGCACAACTGACAGCTTGCATAAAACTTTGTCAGGTTTCTTGGGCATAGATGTTAACTGATATTATAGCACCACTTGTTCATCTCCTAGAAGTGATGTGAGTCATCTTTAGCATTTGGATGCTCCATAGTGCAAAGATGGGCTAGGAGATTATCGATAACAACCTATCACATGGGCATCTAAATATGGTGCAAAACCTGAGTACTTGTCTTGTTTAGGATTATTTATGGGTAAAGAAAATAGCTCTAGACCATAAAATTGGAGTAGCATATAGAAATATATGAACACTTTTGAAAAAGGAATTAGAACTAGTGGTTATAATGATTAGGAGGAGAAATTAATATAATTTTTTGTGTAAAATTAATTGGGTGGAGGAAAGATCTAGGTTTCTTGATAATGCTGGATATAATATTTGATATATAATAAAATTTAAACATAGGAATAATGTCCTTATTTGCTATAAATAAGGACTTTTAAGACATAGCCAAAGAGGAATAACTTTATGTGGATGTTAGTTTAAAAGTTGTCAGACAATCTTAAACACTAGATGATTCAATATTTAATATGAAGTAAACAAGATTCAACTTTTTTTTTTAAAGAAGTCATATTGATCTGATGTATAAACCTTTTTTTTATTCTGTTTTTTACTTGGATCCATCTTCCCTTCTTTTATTTAAGTACATTTTTTACGCTATGGTAGTGGCTTTGATTTTAACAAATTGTCACCTAAAGTTTCATACTATGGATCGATTCATTGTTTTTACATGTTGCTATCTATATAAAGTTCCTTTATGGAAATTACACTTTGTTTAAGCTCATGATATATTCTTCCAAAAAAGCTTTAGATTCTGGAAATTTTCATAGCTAAAATTGGGATATATATTTTTGCCATATTTGCAGTTTGAAGGCTTAGGATCCTTGTCCGAGATTGATGACCTTGAGAGCACCTTTAGGAAGGTAAGTTTTTACCTATCAATTTTTTATTATTTACTCGCTGACAGAATTTTTTTTGACATGTCATGATTGAATTATAAAAATGTGTCTTATTTTCACTCTAGGCAGTATGGTTACCAATTACATGTATTACATATATTAAGTGCGAAGAACATTTGAAGGATGAAGAATTCGAAGAATTGGGTAAAATGCGTTGGTTGCTTACTTTACGACAAACAATTAGTAGTTGGTTCGAGGAAGTATGGTGCATAAAACTAAATGTATTATTTATTTATTTTTTATTTATCTAGTTTTGAATCTAACATTGAAACCATATAAAAAAGTTTGCTAGATTTCTTCCTTTTTTATACAAAATGTTACTGCATGCAGTCCATAGTTCTTGATTGTAAGTGGTATAGGTTTGATTCATAAGTAGTGGTAATGGGTATAATATGTACTAGTTTTCATGTCTTCCATCAGTGGAGAGCAGAGACATTTTTTTTTAATTGTTAGTTAGTAAAGGTGGAGATGGGCACTATTTTGGTCTGCAATTGATGATTATGGTAGGCAAGAAGGTAGTTTCTCATTGTAGTCGGGAACAGTGAAAATTCGGGAAGTAATTCCTTTGTTGCTATTGGGTAACAAACAAAAAAAATTAAGGAATGACCCATAAAGTGCTAGTTCGTTTGATTGGTAGATCCTGACCAGTCATGGGTCTGGGTTTGTTAAATTTTTGGCCTTATTTTGGTTATCAGTTGGAACTTGCCTGACTTAGCTATGGTGGAAAAAGGAGTGAGAGAAGAGGGTGAATGGAAAGGGGGGTCTCATTACTAGCTATGGGAATTAATTTATGATTAAGCTTAATTTCCCCTGTCAAGGTCGCAGGGCAGGGTAGGCAATGTATGCTGGACCCATGACATCAAGATTTTAATACCGATCCGATCTGATACTAAACAACCTATTGTACCAGTAAGGTACCAAGATATCGAACTGTA